CCATTTTCATGGAATTCTAGATGTTATTTTTGCATCTGTTTCATACATTATTTTTATTTTATTATAATTAATAAGTGAAAATAGAAAACAACATTCATCAAAAGCCTACACGTAAAGAGCTTGGGATGAGAGTCCCTCAGGGCCCATGTCACCTTGCACAGGGAAGATGTCCATGGTTACCAGTGTGCACCCCAAACCAAACAGTGTTCACTCTGGATAAGACTCCTAGGACTTCTCACAACTTGACGGGAGCTCCTTCCCACCAGCCGAGAGTGATGGCATTCTGGAATTCCCTACCTCTTTGATAGTAATAACAGCAATTCATGCCCCTATATACTAATAATACTAATAAAATACAAGAGGAAAAAGTATATGGAGGTAATAATCCGAATGTGATCATTACACAAATTTCTTTCAGTATTCATCTATTGAATTCCTATATGCCATGCATTGTACTGGACCTTGGAGATATTACAGGGAGTGGTAAGACAACAAAATGGATGCCTCCACCCTGCTTTTTGACATCCAGGAAGGCATATACTGGCAAGTCTGCTACAGCCACAGCAAAGAGGAAAACTTTAAATACTTCCACATTCGAGCTTGCCTCCCCAAAGAGTAAGAATCATGGCCTCCGACTCAGTGTTCACTTCCCCCCTCCAAATCTCAAGTGCATTGATCTGCTTGGTGAAAGTTAGGTCATGCGTGGAATCCAGGATACAAGGTACTCTGGGAAAAGTAGCTTTTAGATTTTAAGCTTCTAGCATTCAGTGAGGCACACTTAAGAGGGATCAGAAAAGAAGTGAGAGAACCCATCTGAACATTGGTCACATTTATCAAGCAGGTGATAGGAAGAGAAGTCCAGGCTAAGGAATAGCAGTGGGTAATGAAAGGGGTGCATCAGAGGCTGGGGGACAGCTGAGCTGGGTTGAGAGCAAGTGGGCAAGCTTGGGTCTGAGCCTTCCATGCTCTGCCTCTTAAAAAAAAAAAAAAGACAAGATTGGAACTAGAAAAGGAAGCTGACTTGGATATTGACTGGGTTTATTGTAATCTTTTTGCAATTTATACAAATATTGAACCATTATGTTTGTACACCAGAAACTAATATAATGTTATATGTCAATTATACCTCAATTAAAAGAAAAGAAAAGAGAGCTGACTAGAAGAAACACACAGACAGATGGCCCAGGGGCACTGTTCATCATGCATTTATAGTGGTACCAGTTCATATGGTGATGGCGCTCACCCAGAGGCAGAGCATAGAAGGCTGATGGGTTAATCTAATGGGTTTTGTCCCACGGTCAGGTGCTGGAAAGGGAACACACAAAGGCATTCCCTAGGGAGATGCTTAAATGGATACATAGGATCTTGGTAGGATAGGGGAGAAAATAAAATCCAGTGGTTTTAGTTTATCAGATACCTAAGAGAAAAGGGTGGGAGGGTAAGGGACCATCAGTCATAAGGAAATAGAAAAGCAAGTAAACCAGGTTTTGGCAAAGAGATGGAAGAACAGAATCTAGTGATCAAAGATCAATGTATTGGAGTTAAAACTTGGGAGGTAGAAGAGTTCTGAGTCCCAGCGAAATTCCTCCACAGAGTATTTGCACTTTTTTATTTGCACTTTTTTTTTTTTGCTCTCTTCTCTTTCTTTTTTTCCCATTTTCCCTTCACTTCACTCAGAACCAAGCTTTTTTCTTTACCCCTTTCTGAAACTCTTCAAGAGCTTTAAATGCAGGAGTGACGTGATTTGATATGTTCAGAGCAGCAAGAGATATTAAAATAAGGCTCATAGCAGCATTGATTGTCATACTACAACACTAGGAAATAATTAAATATTCATCAATAGTGGCATGGATAATACTGCATTTATTTAAAGTCTAAAAACATGGGTGCCTGGGTGGCTCAGTCGGTTAAGCGTCTGCCTTTGGCTCAGGTCATGATCTCAGGGTCCTGGGATCGAGCCCCACATCGGGCTCCCTGCTCAGCGGGGAGTCTGCCTCTCCCTCTACCCTTCTCCTCTGCTTGTGATCTCTCTCTCTCTCTCTCTCTCTCCCCCTCAGATAGATAAAATCTTTAAAAAGAAAAAGTATAAAAACAGGGGCGCCTGGGTGGCTCAATTGGTTAAGTGTCCACCTCTTGATTTCCACTCAGGTCATGATCTCAGCATTGTGGGATGGAGCCCCCTGTCAGGCTCCATGCTCAGCAGGGAGCCTGCTTGAAATGCTCTCTCTCCTTCTCCCTCTGCCCCTCCCCCTGCTCTCTTTCTCTCTCCTCTAAAATAAATAGATAAATCTTTAAAAAATAAAGTCTAAAAACAGCTAAAATTAAACTGCATTGCTTAGAGATGTAGACAAGGGTGGTTAAGCTTGGAAACAAGGAAATGATTGTCAGAAAAGTGAGGATGCTGGCGACCTCTGGGAGAATGGAGGTTGCCTTCATCAGGGAGGACCCTTGGAGAATGTGGAGGCTGGCAATGTGGTTTTATGGGTATCTCCTTCATAATTATTCTTCAAACTGTGCCTATATGGTTTTGCACTCTTCTGTGTCATATATCCCAACTAAAGAGAAAATATGCATGGAAAAATACGTACCATGTTTAGGAGAGGGGGGAATGAGATTAGGGAGGTGTGTGCAGATACAGTTGTGTTTGTAATTTTGTGTTTCATGAGCTAGGAGCTAAGTACATGGGTTTTCAATTATTATTGTCCATAATTGTTTATATGTCTAAAATATTTAAATCGAAATTAAAACTAAGAAGGCAATATGGAAAAGAAGATGGATGCTTTTGTTTCTGTTTTCATTTCCTTTATGGTTGTTAAATTATTTATTCAATAAATTTGAATCAGGAGAGAAAACACAATAGCTAAATCAGTACTTTAGAGATTTGCCGGCATTCAGAAGTTCTTTTCTTTAGGGAGACATGGAGAATAGAATCCAGTTACTAATCTCAGGGCTTGATCTCAGGCCTGTTTGTTTGGTTTACTCTTGCAGAAGTGGTCCTAGGGTATACAACTGCCTGCGTCCTGTGAGCAGCTCCCACCTCTGCATGAGTATCTGCTACTCACCCCATCCCTCTCTCAAAGTCTCACTGACCTTTCCCTGCAGCCCTCATGTGAACTGGCCCGGAAGTCATTCCACTGTTGGGTGGAGATGGCTGCTGCTTTCCTAGAAAGCCTGCTCCAACCCCTTCCTACTCATTCAGCAAGTCCTCATTCCAGGCTGCTGATCTTGGATCCCCTCCGCCCCCCACACTGTGTAAACAGAAATAACTGGGAAACTACACTCCTGAAGGAAATCCTCAGCAGGGCTGGAAAATGAAAACTCCAACACATTCAGAATGCAATGTAAGACTGGTTGCACATGGATTTCCCTACCTCCTGAGCCTCTGGGGCTCCCTTCTCATTTTCTTTATACAGCCTTTCTTTAAGGAGTTGGAATAACTGTCTCCCTGAGAGCCCTTAGTCCCGTGGTTTTCTCATGTGGATTCCTAGGGGAGGAGAGGGCATCTGGCCGAGTGGATAAATGGAAGGAAGCTGGTCCAGGTAACTCCTTGTTCAGTTACTTAGTGAACCAACCCAGGATCCGCTCAGACTTCTTGTCATGTACAATAATAAAGTTCTCTTTGATTATTTAAGCCAATTTTGGTTGCAGTTTTTGTTACAGCTGAAACATCCTACTTACTGTAGGATAGAAAGAGGAAATTTTGTTATACATTGTTGAGAAAGTCAGGAGCAGTTAGTGATAAATAAGAGGAAGCCTCCAGGGGCCCCGTTTGGGGCAGTGCTACTCAAAAGTGTGGTTCATGGACCTGCAGCATCAGAATTACCTAGCAGCTTGTTAGGAATGCCAGGGTAAGGGCTTCACTCCAGACCAAATCAGATTCCCTGGAGGTAGGACTGGGAATCAGTATTTTAACAAGGTCCCCCTCAGTGATTTGGACGCAACTAAGGTGGGAGAAAACACTGACCTAGAAGCCTTTTGCAGCTGGGAGTGTGACTGGGCCAACAGAGGAAGTGCTCCGTCTCTAGCTCACGGCCGGCCGACCTCTCTGAAGCTGTTCCGATCTTCTAGATCTCAATTTCCTTGTCACAAGAGTATGAGGATCAGATGAGGAACTGGGTGTAAAAATGGTTTGAAAGAGCTCAAGCCTTGATCCCTAGCAGAGTCCTTGAGCTGGCCCAGCCCCTACAAGGGGCCACAGCACCTGAGGCTGCAGACAGTATGTCAGCTGCTTTGGGGAGGGCCTGTCTCCGTCTGCGCAGGAACTGGCAGGTAGAGGATGGAGAGTCACTGCCATTCCTAATTGAACTCGGTTGCTCCAATTTTGCGTTTTCTTTTTTCAGATACCTGCTTGCCCTTGTGGCTTGAGGAGGGTTGGCCCCTGTCGCAGTGCTGCCCCTCCTCCCTTACAACCTCAGCGACCTCAGCCGTCCTCCCGCCACATCCTCCATATCCTCAGTCCTCCTCCCGCACCTCTACTGAGGTGACCTGGTTCCCCGCCCCACCCCGGTTTTCCCTGGGCTTCGACGCCCAAGGAGGCACGGGACCCACTGCCCTGCAGACAGACGAACGACTAGGTCGTGAGCCCTGCCTCCTCTCGAGTTCGGAGGCGTCGACCCCGATGCGGGAACCACCCTCCGAGCCAACGAGGAGCGCCCGCGTAGAGACGGCGGCCTCGCGAACCAGCCCTGCGCGCGGAGCGAGAGATAGTGGGTGGAGAGGGCGCGGCCGCCTGCCTGACGACCAATCAGAGCAGGGCAAGCAAGCAGGCCCGGCTCTCAGTGGCCACTCAGGCGCAGGCCGAACGCGCTGCCTGCTCTTGGACTGGACAAACTTCCTGCCAATCAGAGGCGGAGCAAGAGGAGTCTCGGCCAATAGCGGGAGGCGGCCCGGTCAGGCCGGTGGCCCTGCGGCGCGCGCGGTGGTCCGCGAGCCAGTTGGCGCTGAGGGAGTGGCCGCCCTCCCGCCCTCCCGCCCTCGCGCGCTGCGCTCTCGGTCCCCCGGGCCCGCCCGTCGGCCGCGCCGCGTCATGTCAGGCGCTGCTCGGCGCTAGTGCCCGGGCTGCCGTCGCCCGCCCGCCCGAAGCCGCGCCCACTGTCCAGAGCCAGAGGGATGGTGGTAGTCACGGGGCGGGAGCCAGACAGCCGTCGTCCAGACGGTGCCATGTCCAGCTCCGACGCTGAAGACGACTTTCTGGAGCCGGCCACCCCGACGGCCACGCAGGCGGGGCACGCGCTGCCCCTGCTGCCCCAGGAGGTACCTGGGGGGGTGGGGCGTGGGAAGGGGCGCAGAGGGAGAAGCAGGTGCCCAGCAGAGCTGACCCTGCGGTGCGAGCCGTGTCGAGGCTGGGGTCAGAGGTGGGATCGAGGGCGGCGCCAGAGGAGCTGTGCTTCGGGGGCCCACCCACCTGCAGTAAAACGCACCAGGTGTGTCTTCCCTGCCCCAGGGCACACCTGCCCCCCCCAGCCCCCCCGCCTTCCTCCAGTCCCCGCTTCCAGTATTCACTGACTGCAAGGCTGGTTTAGGCCCACCCCTCTGTCCCATCCTTACCAACTAGAGGAGGGAGGGTAGGCTGTGGGAAGGGGACCTCGGAGCCCCAAGAGGAGAGTGTCTTCTAGGAAATCAAAGAGGAGGCCTTCGTGGTTGCCCAGACCTAATCTCCAGCTGCCCAGAAGGTGGAGTAAGGGACTCTGTGCAGATAAGAAGCAGGCCAATGAACAGATGTGTCCACATTCACCCGACAGCTCCATGGCTTTCCTCCGCTAGTGACAGTGCTGGGTGCTCCTACTGGTCTTACTGTGTATGACAGTATCATGTTTAGAGCTGAAATGACCCTCAAGAGAAAGAGAAAAGAGGAGGAAGGTGGGGCACCGCCGGGCACTGAAGAAGGAGACTAGGAGGTAGGAGCTAAGGTAGTGCTGGATAAGGGAGCCTGTTGTGATGTGTGGAGTACTAGAAAAACGGACAGCTCCAGAGGGGCAGGGCTGGGCTGGGGGTGGCTGGTCCTCTTGGGATTAGAAGCCTAAACTCTAAACATCATGAAACACTTGTGACAATGAGCAAAACCCTGGAAGTACTCTTTGCAGTTGGGGGGAAAAAAAAAGCCATCAGGAACACTGGTGCTTATCTTTTGTGCACTGTCATTGGGAAAACAATGTGGTTTGAGAGAAAGAGCACAGGACTGTAGGCCAGCTCCCCCACAGATACATTGTTCCATGTGAGATCTAAAACTGGTTTTGATTGCTTTTTCCTCTGTGCCTCAGTCTTTTCAGCTCTACTAGAGCAAACACTGGGATTGGTATGAGATGTCCTTGGAAAAGGTGTAAAGAGCTCCAGAAATGTAAAGTATTATTATCCCAAAATAATATTTGAGTCCTTGGTATGCACGTACAATGGTTTTAGAGGAGCTATGGAGTAAGTGGAAGGCATTTGCTGTCCTTTGGTTGCAGAAGAGTAAAAGTGCATACATGCACAAGAACTGTGTATTTTTTTCATTCATTCACTCATTCATTCAGTGCATATTTGGGTCTTTACTGCAAGCCAGGCACTGCATTAGGCTCTGGGTAACTTTGATTTAATGTATTTGTATCCTACTTTATTGCACAAAGAATTTGAAAACATTATTTTACTTATATGTGGAATCTAAAAAACAAACAAAAAAACAAAGCATAAATAGACTCATAAATACAGAGAACTAACCAGTGGTTACCAGAGGGGAGGGAGGGTGGAGGGATGGGCAAAATGGGCAAAGGGGAGTGGGAGGTAGTGGCTTCCAGTTAGGGAATGAATAAGTCACTGGGATGAAAGGTACAGCATAAGGAATATAGTCAATGATATTGTAATAGCAATATATGGTGGCAGGTGGTAGCTACACTTGTGGTGAGCAGACAATAAGGTATAGACCTGTCAAATCACTGTGTCATACACCCAGAACTAATATAACATTATGTGTCAACTATACCTCAAAAAAAAAGTGGAAAAAAAATAGAACTGGAAAGCTGGGGGAAAGGACTATCTAGCTAAATATACACTGGAGCCTGAGAGATGTTGTAATATTCAAAAGTGTACACTAGTATAAAATTTTAGTTAATCTGGAGGTTTGTGGGGAAATTAGAGAGAACTGGCTTCATTTCTTTTAAAGCCACAAGGAGTGAAAGATATCCCTCCCCCTGCAAAAAGGTCCTGAGCATTTTAGGGAGAACTTAGAGCTTCTCTGGGCCAATCTATACCATCAATCCCTGTTCCTCCCCCTGCCCTTGCCTCCAGAACCTGAGTTGGACTAGGGACTGATCTCACTCTACAGATTAAGTAGTAGAGAAGTGGTGAGGTACAGAGAATGTGGAGTGGATGCCTGGAATAATTCCACAAACATCTACGAGCCCCGCTGTGGGTGGCCTCGTGACTAGTGAATAAGATGCTGTCCCTGCCCTCAGGAAGCTTGGGGTCTAGAAGGGTAGGCTCACAGGAGTAATTAACTGCTAGTGTATCATGCTAGGCACTATGAAGAGGAGAGCATGGCACATGGTGAAGGCACAATGGAGGGAATACTTAGTTAAGTCTGTCTTGGGGCAGGTGAGGGACAAAAGGGCAGAAATGCTCACAAAATCAGGAAACTTGAAGAGAAGCTTTTAGAATGAGTGGACGCTGCCAACTTACATGGTGCCTTGGTGTGCACTAGAGAAAGGCACACAGCTGAGCTAGCAGATCTCTCGCAGATGGGTGCCCTTGTGCACACCACATATAGGGCAATTGCATTTGCTAGATGGACAGAGGGAGAGTGGAAAGAACATTCTGGACAGAGAAGACAGCATAAGCAAGGGCATAAAAGTGGTAATAGAGCAGAGATAGTAGAACTGGGGTGGGGAGGCCTGATTTAATGGCTCTCAGGGGGACAGTGGGGTGGACTTGGCAACTGAGAAGTGTAGGGAGAGGGAGGAGAGAGAGAAGAGCATTCAGAAGGAACATTCCCAGATTTTAGCCTTGGGGTGCCTGAATGGTGCAGCACTGATGAGATCCAAGGAGACTGCAGTCAGAGCAGCCCCTGCTCTCATTCCCCAATGCCTGGTTGAAAGTGCCGGTGGTTCCTTTCCAGTTTCCTGAGGTTGTCCCCCTTAACATTGGAGGGGCTCACTTCACCACACGCCTGTCTACCCTGCGGCGCTATGAAGACACCATGCTGGCGGCCATGTTCAGCGGGCGGCATTACATCCCCACAGACGCCGAGGGCCGGTACTTCATTGACCGGGATGGCACCCACTTTGGGTATGTTTCTCCCTCTATGGTCAACTTTGTAGTCCTAGTGAGTGTCCTGGGCCTCGGTATGGGGCTTTGGTGTCTTCTATAATACCTAGAAGAGGAGATAACAAATGTACTGATGGAATTTAATAAATGTGTTTATTGAATGAGATCAAAATTCATAGTTTTTTTCCCAGAGGAGACAAGGACAGCCAGAGAAATCTCAGGTGACACACACGGGCTGGATGTGGCGAAACTGCTTCTGTCCTGTGAAATTTAAGACCAGGAAGTTGTCATCTGTGTGGAGCAGGTGTGATCCCCCCTGGAGGTGGGAGATTCTAAAGCAACTTCTTGGGGAAAATCCTCAGATTCAGATTCTGGGGCTCCACATTGCCCTTAGGGAGGGACACGGTGTGGGACCGTGGTTCTCAGACTTCCTTCAAGAGTTTAAAACAAACGAACAAAAAAGGTGAGGGAAGGGCCAATATGTGATTGCCATCCTTTAATTTTGCCAAGAAAAGTCTTTAAAAAAAAAAAAACACCTTCAATTGTGACTGTCATTTTAATACTAAAACATGGAAAGACACAATCTCAAAAAAGAAAATAGCCCTTCCCAAGAAAGGACTTCTGACACCTTACACATAAACAGCTTAAAGACTTTATGTTTTAGTTTCCTTATTTGTGAAATGAGAAATAATGATAGCTGCCTCACAGGCCTGCCATGCCAATTACATAAGGAGCCTTGGTGTGACCCCTGGCCAGGTTCTTCCAGAGCATGTGGCTAAAGCTCTTTGCCCCTTCAGTCTAACTTTGGAGATGACTAGAGAACTAACATGGTTCTCAACCTTCAACAGATTGACTAGGGAGGCAAAAACTCTCCGACCACTACGTCTCTGTGCTGGCCTCCAAGTAGGATTGCCTGCACTGGGAGAAAGGGCATTTTTATGTTCAGAAAGGAGCCTCTGGTCAAACAATTTACTTTGAACCATCTGGGTGTCCCCATTGGGCTGTCAGCTGCCTACAATGCTGAGAAAACAAAGTGTCACATCGCTCTGCAGAGCTATAAAAAGATTTTTGTTTGCAGGCTGTTTGGGGGAGGAAAGTGCTGGCCCCGGCTGGCAGCTCCCACAGCACTCTTAGCTGGGCCTTGCCCCGGGGTTATGTTCTTCAGAGCAGACCAAGGTTTGCATAAGATCCTAGAGGACTGATTTGGAAAGGGGTTGTGGGGAGGGGGGGAGCAGGGTTTGGCTGTAGGTTGATGTGCCCATGCCCAGGTGGCCATAGCTGGAGAGGGTCAGAGCCAGGCAAGGGTGTGGCAGAAGGCAGGATGTTGTAGCATTTATCCTCGGGCTGCTGGACTGCTGTGGCCTATGATTCATCAGCAGCAGATGAAGTTGCCTACAGACTCAGATAAAATAAAATAGGGGTTTAAGGCATTTGGTCAGGAACATTTCTCTGCTGGTGCAGTTCATGTGCTCCCAGCACCCCCCATGAAGGCTGCTTGGGCCGCCATCTGGGGCGGTTTCCCATTGTGATCAGTGAACAGCACTTTGGACTAGAGTCTGGACCACCGTGGGTATGGCCTTGGAGTCAACCGTGTCTGCATTTGGGCTCCTGCTAGCTGTGACTCCTTGAGTAAGGGTATTCCTTGACCTCTCTGAGCCCCTCTTTTTCCTCATTTATAAAATGGGCCTAAAATGGCACTTACCCCACAATGTCATTGAAGTGACTAAATGGGATAACACATGAATAGTGACTGACACAGATTAGAACTTAGTGCGCAATAGCTGGTATTACATCATGGTCAGAGACTACTGTTGAGGCAACATCTTGATCTTGGGGTTTACTCACATATCTTTACAGAAAAGACCTTCCCACACCTAACCAGTAAAGGATCTGATTATTCTTAGCACTAAAGAATTTGAAGATAGAATTAAAAGAACTGAATATTTATCTTAAGAAAATGCAGTATACGATTTTCTTCACTCCAGGAACCAGTTTGTTCAAGTGTTAGGGGTAAGCATTTGATGTCTTTATAGCTACAGAATAAGACTAATGGCAAGGTTATATAGAAGATGGGGAACCATTCTACATTGCTGGTGGAAATGTAAAATGCTACAACCATTTTGTTAAGCATGCACTTCACCTTATGAATGAACAGTTCTACTCCTAATACATACCCAAGAGAAGTTGGTACATGTGTCCCCAGAAAGTCTTTTACAGGAATGTTCATCACAGCTTTACTCGTAAGAGCCCCAAACCGGAAACAACGCAACTGTCCATCAACAAGAGAATGGGTAAATAAATTACAGCATATCCATTCAATGTGGGGCCACTTAGTTTGTTAGATAGGGGATGAATCTCAGAAACATTCTGTTGAAGGGGAGAAGCTAGGCATGGAAGAGAACGTACTGTGTGCTTCCACTTACATGAATTTCAAGATGAGGCAAAACTAATCTTCACTGATAGAAGAATTCTGGGGTTGAATGGGAAGAGGCAGAGGGAAACTTTAAGGAGATGGAAACGTTCTGTATCTCAGTGTAGGTGGTGGTTGTAATCAAACTATATGATTTGTACCTTGATTGCACATTAATTATACCTCAATTTAAATATATAGATTAAGGAGCCTAGAAATCACATCTTTCCATTATTCCTATGTATACCCAATAATAACAACACCTAATAAAAATAAAAAATACTACGCCTAATAATAGTTATAAATATAATAGTAATGATACTGGTAATAACAGCTACTAATGCGTATTGAGGGCTTACCCAGTGCCAGGTATTTTCCAAGCACTTTTTATCTATTAACTCACTTAATCTCTTCATTCCATTATGGGGTAGTTTTTTTTTTTTATTTCCCCCCCTTTTACAGATGAAAAAATCAGGGCACAGAGAGGTGAGGTTCACTTACCCAAGGTTACACAGCTGGTAGTCTGGTTCCAGATTCTGTGCTCTAACTACTATATGTCACCGCCCAGGTCCATTAGCTCCTTCTCACCAACTCTCTTTCCTTCCTGCTCAGAGATGTGCTGAATTTCCTGCGCTCAGGGGACCTGCCGCCCCGGGAGCGTGTACGGGCTGTGTATAAAGAGGCCCAGTACTATGCCATCGGTCCCCTCCTGGAGCAGCTAGAGAACATGCAGCCTCTGAAGGGGGAGAAAGTGCGCCAGGCATTTCTGGGACTCATGCCCTATTACAAAGGTGAGGGGTCAACTGCCCAGTGTGGTCGAGGTGTGGGAAAGGAGGGTTGCAAGGCATCTATCTGGGCGTAGGTCTTCACCAGAAGAAGTGGGTCCGAGATTCACCTACATTACTCAAGATTGGAGAGATTCCTGCTTCCCTTTCTGCCCTCCCCTCCCAGTCACACTGGGAAGATTCAGGTTAAATAAGACCCACCTTGCCTGTGACATCATCAAATCACCTTTCAAAAGGATTGTCCTCATTCCATCTTTTTGGTTTCCTTTTGCCATGGCGATCCATGATCCCTGTTTAAGTTTGTGCCCTTCATAAGCCCACAGAGTCCCTTCCGCAGGATCTCTCTCCCCTGTTGGATCCTGCCTTCACTGGGGCTCTCTCTTTGTGCCCTGACACTGCCTTGCCCACCCCCCACCCCAACCTCCTGACCCCTGTCCCAGTGATGGGTGCTGTGTTCACCCCACAGACCATCTGGAGCGGATTGTGGAGATTGCCCGGCTGCGTGCGGTACAGCGGAAGGCCCGCTTTGCCAAGCTCAAGGTCTGTGTCTTCAAGGAGGAGATGCCCATCACCCCCTACGAGTGTCCTCTTCTCAACTCCCTGCGCTTCGAGCGGAGCGAGAGCGATGGGCAGCTCTTTGAGCACCATTGCGAAGTGGATGTGTCTTTTGGGCCCTGGGAGGCTGTGGCTGATGTTTATGACCTACTGCACTGCCTGGTCACGGACCTCTCAGCCCAGGGCCTCATCGTGGACCACCAGTGCATCGGGGTGTGTGACAAGCACCTCATCAACCACTACTACTGCAAGCGCCCCATCTATGAGTTCAAGATCACATGGTGGTGAGTAGCCCTGGTAGGGAACAGTCCCGTCAGGGAGGGCATCCATTCTCTTTAGTGGCTCTGGGGTAAGATCCCTGGAAGGGATACTAACTGCCCCAGACCTGCTGAGGTGAGGACCAAGTCCTGAGGCACAGCTCCAAGGGGATGGAGGTCTCCTGGCAGCTCCAGTCTCTCGGCTGTACCTTGGGGTCAGGCTCAGGGCTTGTGGCCCACAGGGACTTGGTACCTGAACTCACCTGACCTTTCCTCAAGGCACAGCAGTCTTTGCCTGAGGCTGATGGGGTCTGGCTAGCTAGGGCTTGACCAGGAAGTTCAGAGAGGTTTCGTCACTCTCTTGATCTTGCAAGAGAGTTTCTGCCCTTTTTAGTGCCACGTTACCAAACTAATATAGGCGTAAGCACTTCCTCAGCCTTGTTCGAGTGTCCCTCCCTTGTGCCTAGCATATAGGTATGAACACAGAATATGATGGGGGATTTGCCCAAGGACCTACCCCACAGCCCCTGACTGAAGAAGCAGCATCTGCTCTCCCTCTTCCCCCAGGGATAGTTCCACGCTTTGTTTTAGGATGTGGAAAGACTCTTCCTCCTGAAACATATTCTTCACCACCTTTTGGAGATGCAACCATAGTTGCCAAAGCCATGCACCAGGTTGGCCTTAGAAAAGCACAATGTTTACAGCCCTGCCTTAGGGCCTTGGCTTCTCCTACCTTCCACCAACCTTCCTTGCTTGAAGGGTTATCTTCTCAGGGCTGTAATGCAGATTTCAGAGGTTCCTTTTGAAGATTCCCTGAGTCAAGCAGGCAAGTTGCATAGATCTTCTGTTGTCTATGAGATGTAACATCCTTTCTGGAGGCTCAGAATCTCTTTGGCTGCCATTTCATGTGTTAGCATCCAATCTGTGGTGAACCTCTGTAGATAGGAACCCCACTCTTTTTTAAACCCTGCTGCTTTATCCTGCTCACGTTCTCCTAGGAGAGTGTCTGTTCTGAGGAAGCAAAGAAAGGGTTGGGTGGGAGGCACAGCTCTACCAGGAGCTGTAGGACGATCGCAGCAAACCTCCATCACGTTCTGCTCCCCACATCTCAGAGAGAGAAAAGGATCCACAAGGTTTTGCTCCCACTGCATTTTTTTCTTGCTCCATCTGCAGACTAGGGCAGTTAAGCAGGCTATGGACATGCATCTCCTAAAGGAAGAGCTATGCAGCACCAGCAATTGGAACATAATATTTCTGTGCTGCATTAAGGGCTTCTCCCTGTAATCACGACTCTGCTTGACTGTGCTGGGTGTTTGGTAGGGAGATTTTTTTTTTTTTTTTTTTTAATGTAAAACACTGGTGAGGACAGCCTCACTGGTCTCAGTCCTACAAGGCCAGATTGGCGAGGTAGGGCGAGGGGGAACGGAAGATGTCTGCATCCTTCTGAGGAAGAGAAGGCCAAGTCCTGGGACCTTGCCAAACTCCTTCATGGGGCAGCGACCTCCTGGCCCCCTGTGGAACAGGGATTCCGGGGCGTGGCTTTGCGCTCACGTTGTGTGGTGGAACAGAGGTACAGACTGAGATCTGAGAGGAACGTGCAGTCAGTTGTTCAGGTTCAGAGATAAGTGTTCTCTCTATTGTCCTCATCCACAAATGAATCATCACTATTCTGGAGTTGATGTCCCTGCTTGAAGCTTACTCCCAACAACATGGCTCTTGTCTTATTCTAACAGAAGTCTTTCGCTTAAGTTGGTCCGATAGGTGTTACTGCCTAATACAAATTCATTTTTGGACAGACACTGAGGCAAGCTATTCAGGAGAAAGGCGGTGTGAGTAGAAAGGAGACAATTAATCCCAGTGCTTTCAGTTATCTGGCCTAGGCTCCTTCTTGTTCCCACCCCTGGCACAGAGCATCACAGTACCTTGGTTATTTAGAGTCCATACATGTAAGATAGAGTGATTGGTAGGCTCAAATGCAAGTTTGCTCAAAAATAGACCCTGAAGACTAGCTTGGGGCTTCAGGGATGCTGGATAAGGACACTGTCCCCAGGCCCCTTGCTTGAGACACTCCTTTGGACCCCTCTGGCCCTGTGTTGTCCTCACAGTGGTGTACTTTATGCCACTGTGGGAGAGATAAGGCTCTGGGCCAGTAGACCAGGCAGAGCAGGGATACTGGCAGCCAGCTTAGAGCTCTTTCGAAATGAAGTAAAAGAATTCAGTGGCCCAATTTGGCCATTCTCTGATGAGAAGCCAAGGCCAAGATGAAGAGTGCTTTTGGATGCGGTGGTTTGAGGTAATGGCCTCCAAATAGAGGTCATATCTGAGGAAGTGACTTCTCCCAGTTGGATCCCTTCTCAACTCTAAATGGTCAGGTCTAGAGCATAAGAAGGGGTGGGTTAGGAAGGAGGGCTCCAAAGGATGAATGCTTCTACCCAATCGAAAGGGAGTATATTTTCATAGAATTCTTGTGCATAACGTTGATGGGTCAAACCAAGTGCCTGCCTTTGGAGCTTCCATTATGTTTGACTTTGGGCACCTTTTCTCCCAGGTGTCATGCTCACTGGTTGGGAAGGTGAAAGGTTTAGGAGATAGGATTGTATGGTGCAATAGCAGCCATAACAAAATTCAACAAAAATGAAAAACTTAATGGCAACAAAAAAGATTGAAACAAAACCACAATGAAACACATCACAGCATCCCAGATGGAGGAGTTCTTTGGGTAAACGCTCTAAATAGAAGAAATAGAGGAACCGTCACCATCCTTATTCTACCTTTGGTTAACTCACGAGGCTGTCCAGTGCTTATCATGTGGAAAGCAGTCAACTGTGCTCTGACAGCTTCTATTCTTTCTTCCTGGGGCTTAGGATATTCTGGTTGCTGTCTGAGCCTTGTGCCTCAGGCCGTTCAGGTGACATAATCTTCCTGTTCTGGGTTGCTTGTTGGAGGACTAGAAGAATGACATTTTCAAGCCACAAGGTGGGGTGAGCCTCAGTGTGCAGTCTTGGTCTAAGCTGGATCCTGAAGAGGTTAAGACAAATAACAACAACAAAACAAAAACTACTTACACTGAGCATTTTGATCCCAGTTAGAATTTTAAATATCCTTCTGCATACTTTCTGTCCATATTTGATTCTAAGTGATTAAGCTTTCTTAGGTACCTTTTTGCTGGGGCTCTTTCATGAAGGTAGTACCTGCCTTGTGATCCCTAAAAGAGGGAGGCTTTAAACATCAGAAGCCGGAGTGTGGGGAACTGGAGTGGAAGAGGCACTTTTTGGAATTCTGGAAGAAACATATATGTATACATATGTTAATTGGGAAAAGGGTGGGTTGGCAGGGGTTGAGGAGGTGGGAACAAAGACTGGGTATAGGAACAGGTTGCCTCTGGAGTACGGGAGGTCACCTGGGTCCACTGTCTTCCTTCTGTATGGTGTTGGGTTTGTGTACATGGCATAACACTTCCTATGTTTGTTCACTCCCTGTCTGTAAGCGCTTTGGTGCATGGAGCCCCAGTACCCTCACATGGCATTAAAGTAAAGAATTAGAATCTGGGTGCTGTGCCTTTCTTTTTTAGAGACTTACTCTCATCCTTCCTCTGCCCCCACTGTGCCAGCAAACAATGTCTTGATTTCTCCTTAAAATGTGATGTGTTTTGGGATGCTCAACTAAATAAAATAGGCTCTTTCCTGAGACCAGCAGCTGAACTTCTGCCCTGGCTTGAAGTAAAAGGGAGATGGGCCCCATGAAGGCCCTTCTGCAATTACTCTAGCCTTGTCTCTGTTCCAGGTAGGAGTGTGCCCACCCAGTCTAGACACACAGCTCTGCCCTCTTGTGTTGAGAGGTCTCTAGGGGAAGAAGATAGCACAATTGCCCAGTCACTGTGTGGTTCACGACCATGTCAGGTGATTCTGAAAGAAATCCCTCCTGTCATTCACCACTTCTTTCGAGGGTCAGATAAATGGCTCTAAGCTTATGTGAGCCTCTGTGGCTAAGACCCTTCGTTGAGGAAAATGGACTTGAGTTGCCCTTCCTCTGGAAATAGAGTTTGACACCTCCCTGGCTAATGAGGGTCCTCATCAAGATGTCCCTTGGAGTCACTTCATGGATTAACCCAGAAAGGTGAGTCCTGACATGCTGGGTAGCTATGCCACCCTCCAACTGCTTCCTTAAATCTCTCATTATTCTGACTTTTAAACAAAAGCACTGCATCACCTGTGCCAAGTGTATTCCCTGACCTGCTTACTGTGTACACAATCACATAGTAATGATACATTAATAATACTTCACAAATTGGAAACTGAAACTCATGGAGGTGTAATTTACTCAAGGGCACATAGCTAATAGGTAGCAAAGTCAGGATTCAAACCCAGGGCCCTTTTCTGAAGTCCTCACAGATGTTCTATAGAGCCCTCCCTTCCGCTTGGCAGCACAGAGGGCTTCAACCTGTGAAAATTTGAAAGGCAGATGCTCTAGAAGGAAGACTTTCTTTGATGTGTAGGTCTTAAGTAATCCGTGAACATTAAGGAGCTAGCTGGGGTCCCCAGTGTACCACCCTTCTTAGTGAGGGACACATGTTCGCTAGGTGGAGAAGGGTCCCACTCATGGGCAGTGATGGAGGTGAGTAATGGCTCCCTGGCTGGACCCTAGGTGTGGCGAGATGATCTGGGACGGCCTGAGTTCATCAGACTCTTGCAGCCTACAGACCTAACCACACAGATGTGCTATGCAGCCTGACCGTGTGGAGAAGGATGCCCGAGGCCTCGGCCCTCCTTCAGGGACCCCTGGCCTCAAGAGAATAACTGAATGTAAGGCTTTTTAGTTTAGCTTAGGGGGTCTTGTGCGCCTGGCTTGGGGCTTATGGCCCTTAGACTCTGGGTCTCAACCCTGCCTGTTTGTTCCTTTGTCATCATTTTGGAGATGACCTCTTAGCTAGCTTCACTTATGTCATCTTGATTTGTTTAACTTAGAACATATTCCTTTAGCTTTTGTTTACTTCACCTTTAACTTTCTGTCTTTTGATTCCTTACCATTTTGTTTTTCCTGTCATGTGTTTTAGAGTTCTGTATTTTTTAAACGTAATTTTAAACTTTATTTCTAATGTAACTTTAAAATAAAGCACCTATATGAATAGGATGCTAATGAAGATAGTTCTTGTTCTGAGCAAGGGAAATTATGTGCTTTTTTTTTTCCCATTCATTTCTACAATGATCTTACTAGCTGTGAACATTAGGTGTCTCATTTTTCTCTTAGATGAATATCTTCTTCTAAAGTCTAAATACAAGGAGAAACTGACAGTGTTATTACAAAAGTCATAGATCCGGGTTATCTACTAGATCCAATGGCCAAGCTTTTACCTCCCCCTCCAGAATGCCTGCCTCCCCCCATATACACACAAGAACAGTAAGTTCAGACTTAGGAAGAGGGCAGTCCCATTCCCGACGGCTAAGGGCTTCTTCCTTCACACACTTGTTCTTCCTGAGCAATGACATGATCTAAATACCCTGGGATTCCACCACCTCCAACCACCTGGAACTAAGTGGAAACAGAACTATTGTGCACCAGGAAAAAAAATCCAGCTCGACTGTGGGAAAGACTGAATTGAACCATCTTGAACCATCCGGAAGTACTTCATAAAAGGGACCCATAATCAGATTGTGATGCACCTTTTCCACCCTTCTGTGATCCCAGTGGCAACCTGAATCACCCTTCCACAAACCATGACTTTTAGAAGACCCTGGGTTTTTTCCTATATCGTGATCTTGGCAGATGGCCTAGCTCCGGTAGATCTTTGGAATAGATGTATACATACTTCTCCTTTATTACAAAAAAATTAAGAAATAGAACCCCAAAGCACCACAAAGCTTAGAGCTTGATCTCCATTAAAAGAAATTTATAAGTTAAGAGTTGAGTTGAAATCTTTATACCTTTGTTATTTTTGTAAAGGGATTGGGATGGTATCATGAGTAGGTTTAAGTCCCTAGAATGTGTATCGACTTCTATAAATGCCTTTATTCGTGTGTTTATTAGTGTGCTTTCCAACATTACATCCTTACCTTCAGCTGTACCTCAGCTTACACTGTCCCAGGGACCCATCTGTGTATGCACACGTCATGGGTGCCTACTGTCCCTATTCTCACCGGGTCATCTCCACCACTCCCCCCGCCCCTGCCACTCATGACTGCCCTGTCTTTGGCATTTTAAAGCTGGTTGGCCACTTCTGGCCATACCTCATCCAGTATTTGGTTGCCAGCCCTGGCAGTGATGCTTTATCCAGCACTGCCCC